CAGTGCCATCCTCAAAGCATGTCCAAGTACATCCAAACTTGCTCCTCAAACTGGTTTCAGGCTAAACTTGTTCTATCCTCTAGACTTTGATTTAGTGCACACTTAATTTAAACATTATATATATATATTTATTTATTTATTTGCTGTGCGTACACAGACCTTTCTCCCTTTTCCCTGCAGAAACATATTAGACATTACAAAAATAATTTGTGGTATAAAAGAATTCTCACACAATGTAGAATTTTTGTTTGTATATGTAACTAAAATATATATATATATTTTTCCAAAAGTAAAAAAGTCAAAATGTCCTTATTTTCCTCTATTATATAGTCTATTTTATTTACAATGTTACCAAACAATATTCTGTATGTAAAAGTGATAATAGTTTGCGGGACACTTCCTGCTTAGCAACTTCTCAAGCGGAGTGTGGCTTGAAGAGGACTGCAACAACAGCACTGTCACAACATTATCAACCAGCACCTTCCTCTGCAATAAGAGTTTCTCCCATACTGAGTGAAACCAGACCCTTCCCCTGCAGAACAGGGCAAGTTCTGACAGTCTGCCTAGAAAGTAGCACACGAGGAATAAAATGTGTGTTCCCCAGTTTCTGTGCTGTGATATTAAGGGGGATCAGGATTCCTAATGGCAAGGCCTTACCCAGCCAACCTGGAAATACCCCCGAGCAACGCCGCACTGAGTGGACCCATGGCTTCTCCTGCTTCTACCAAAACCAACAACAAGTGGGAACAGCAGTGAGTCAGGAGACCCAAGAAAAATGCAGTGGAGTTACTGGGGGGCACCCATGGACCTTCTCTTCAAAACAAACATACACAAAGATCTCAGCATTTCCATAGGTGTAACCTTATCTAGCATAGTATGTTCTGTAAGAGAATTTCAGCTGAAGAACGAGGCAGAATAAAAAGTGGTTTTCTTTTGTCTTCAATCGAGAAAACTTTATGATCAGGACTAGCTAAAATCTTTGATCATAATCTATAAGCCTGCTGCTAACTGATGGTTAGACTGGTTTATAGCCATCTCTTATAACATGCACCTGTATGTCAACATGAGCCACATACAATTTCCAGCCTTGCTGTACTAATGCAATTTCATTAGCAAGTCACAGTGCTCTCATCTCAAAAAAAGCAATTTTAGTTTCTGTGTCATTTCCAGTTTCAAAATGTGAACTCAAACTTCCTCTACCTAGGAAACCAGCCCAGCCTGTGCAATAAATTCATAAAGGGAGTTACACCGGAGAGAGGGGAATCCTGGCTCCTGAAGTCAAAGAGAATTTTTACCCAGGACGTTCAAGGTTAATATTCACCTAAGAACTGCCACGCAAGAGAGGAAGGTCAACAACAAAATTCTGCAGCAAAGTATTTGAAGAGCTACTTCTTCTAAGTCTGAATGGCAAGTGAAACGTAGTGCTTGGGAAGTAACGTAAGAGGCGTTGTACCCATCATATTCAAGGGAGTGTTAAGAGGAAAAGAGCCCCAAATGCTTATTACAGCTACACCTATGGACGTGCCCGATTGCTGACTTAGAAAAAGCCTCTGCAGTACTGAACAGAACCAAAATCGTGTTGTCAATGAGAGTTCAAATGCTAGATTAGCGTTGAGGAAACTACTTGCTTGACAGCTCAAGTGCTGAAAGACCAATAAGTTCATCAGAGCTTGTCTTCATTAATAAAATAAATAAATACCAGTTTAAAAGAACAGCTTTAGCTAAACTGGTACAAATTTGTAAATAAACAAAAGTTCAGGATTTCCTTCTCTGCTGCGATAGCAAGACACACATACCTACACACATTTAAATTTGTAACTGAGTACACAGGCAATTTGGAAATTCTTTTTAAAATCAGTTTCTGAATCCTGTTGACAAGATGATCTATAAGGAACCATTACACCAGGGAAGATGTAGTACTTTACAATCAACATTTGGTCAAAGTTTGTACAGTCGTGCAGTTCCCCGCAGTAAGATAAGCTACACGTGAGAATTTTTGTTTATGCTTTCTCAAAAGAGAAGATTTCAGAGACTGTCTAATAGGCTATTAAAATCATATGGCACTTTCAATAAATACTTTAAAGCTTCTTAAAGAAATCAGGATAAAAAAGCAACTGCTGTAATAAGCCTGTTTTAGCCATAATACATAATGCTGAAGGAAAAAATCCAGAACAGCAAACAGATATTAACAGTTAAAAGACAGTACAGCTTTTTTCTTTCTGCAGCAATATGAACTGGCTCCCATTCCCAGGGAAATGGGAGCAAGCCCACCTCGAAACAAGTATTCACTCAATCTTAACTGCTCTACGCTCCACCCCAACCCCTACATCACTTCACTTCTAAAACATAGTCACATTTTAATATAAATCTCAGTGCAGAAATGTATTAAACATGAAAAATACTGATCCTGCAAACCTTTATGACCATGCTTAACATTAAGTGAGTGCCTAATGTCATGACACCAGAAGAGCTACATACACGCTTAATGCTAAGCATAGGTATGTTGCAGCATCGGGCCCAAAGATGCCAACCACCACCAGGGACATCGGCTGGGTCAAAATGGTATCGTTCTGTCTGGTTTTGTCAAGGTGTTCTCAACAAAAGCACATCAAGAAACAGAAACTTCCAAACCTACACACGGAAATACAGTTACATGTGTGTACATACTAATATGCAATATACATTCAGTAACTTGAAAGAATAGGTTAAGACTTTATTCAGATAGACAAATTAAGGCAATTATCTTAATGTCTCTTCAAGATAAAGGACCGTGTCCTCATTTGTGACCTCTAGGTTTTAAAGCTATATTTTTCAAGAAATATATTTCAATTTTCTTTATATTTTCTCCAATTAATGATTTTGTTTGCTTAATAAATTATATCTGTGCAAGGGTGCACGCTGATAATTTGGCAGTGGCAAGAAGTCCAATTCGTTTATATAATACAGACTTTTTACATTTTCATTACAGGGTGATTAGTTTAGGACTGCATTTTGGCTTAACACAAAGAAAAATTTAGAAGTTCTGGCCATCCAATGGACATAACTTTGTCAGTCTAGCAAGACACAGAATTCATGTTATAGTCAAAGTAAAAAAAATAAAAATAATAATAAAAAAAAGAAAAAAAAAGATGTACTGTCCTTTCACTAAAACAGACCAAAAAAATAACACAGAATGGAAACAGCCTTCACAAATAAGAGTGAATAATGCCCAGGTACCTTATATAGGCAGTTATTCTACAACTGTATACAGTTATTTACAATGGTGCTTTATAAAACAAAAAAAAAAATGGTAGCACTTCCTAAAAGATTTTGGAACTTTTTTTCTTTTTTTTCTTTTTTTAAAACTCCCTTGTCATAAAAGCCAACTTACATTAAAATATACTTACTACAAGACAACACAACTAACAAAATATATAATAAAACTCATACAAGTAGAAAATTCTGAGGTATTTCTGGTTTGAGGTGGTCTGTGGTCATGAAGTTTTTAATTTTTTTCAGTTTAAACCTCGGAAGCCACGTAACGTGTGTGTGTGTGTGTTTTGTGGTTTTTTTTTTTAGTTTTTTTTTTAAACATTGCATGTTTTGCAAATTAAAAAAATATTTCAATGTTGAATCAGCAGCATTAGGAACATTCACTGACTAGAGCGAGTTTATGGCATAATAAGAGTAACGGTATTTTAGAATATGCACCACTTTAAGACAAAAGAGTTTCGTCACAGAGTAAGGAGAAAGCAGCGTCAAAGAAACCAGTTGGAGAGATGCTGCGATAATCACTGCTGCTGCTCAGCTGCCTCTGCAACCTGCAACTGGGCAGTTCGTAGGCTTCTCGGATGCTACAGGAGCCATCTGCCACCGGTTCAGGTATTTCTACCCCCCACAGCCCCAAATTAATAAGGAAAAAAAAAAAAATTATAGAGCCAGTTTTCACACTTATCCTCTTTTCACCATCTGCACCAGTAGCTTGGGCTGACAGATAATCAACCCCAAGGCCGAATTTCCTGAACTGACTTGCACTTAGTGAGATGCAAAAATTTTCCCATCTACCAATATTTTACCAAAGTGCTTCTGAGAACACACTTTCCCACCTCTTCCAATTACACTGCTTAAAAGCGTCCTTCCCACTACTATCTGGAGTTGAAAAATAAAAAGGTAATTATAGTTCTGCTTTGTTCTTTTACCACCCAAGCCCAAGACAGTGGAGGAAGAAAGAACTAGTGCCTTGCTTACAACCATTGGCTCTTTAACTCGGCTTTCTCCGTACACTGCAGCTGTTAATACTCTGCCCAGAAATGTCCTTCCCCTCCTCTAATGGTTACCTGAGAAGTAGCTCCATAGCAAATGATGTTTCCCCAAATGCTGCCAAGTCCAACGTCACTCTCCCCACCCCTATTCTACGCTCCCCCCTTCAATTCTACCATCAAGAATTAACATTCTCCGCCCAGTTACTTTTTTTTCCATGTTACAATGACACCCGTTAGATCCGTAAAAGACACATCTGCTGTTTTTTTTTGAAGCTCACTTCCAAAAAAAAAAAAAAAAAAAAAAAAAAGGAACTAAACCCAAAACCAAAAAAAAATGGGGAAAAAAAATTCTTTTGAGGAAGGTGTATTCTTTATATAACAGTCTTAAGTTTCCTCCACAGTTTGCAGCATTGCGTTTTCTAAGATGGTAGGTGGTTTTCCTTTACGTCACAGATGCTCCGCTCAGAAGACAGACCGATAAAGAGAAACCCAGAAAACTGAATAAAACAAAAACAACTGAAGTGAGTTTGTTGAGGTTCTGAGGTACCTGCACCTTTTCTGCATTCATTAGTCGGCACCTGAATGCTTGCTGAAATGTCCATTTTTTTAATACAGTAGAGCAATGTGCTGGTAAAATTGATCCAATCCAAAAAAATAATAATAATAATAATAACAATAATAATAAAAAGTCAAGATAAAATAGCAGCTGCATTCATGTGTTTGTTGGATTTTTGTTTTTTTTTGTGTGGGGTTTTTTTTTCAACATTTTTTTTTTTTTAAATCCACTGAGTCTGGAAAGACAAAAGTGAACCAGGACTTAGATACTAGACTCTTTGGGCGGCAAGTCCACGTTGGTGACGGACGTCACGATGGAGACGAGGCAGTCCGAGGTAGTGCCGTTTACGGATTTGCGGATCTGCGCAATGCGCTCCTCGACACAGCCCGCCGAGAGCCGAGCCTCCGCATCGTGGTCCCAGCACTCTTCGATGGTCACGCAGAGCTGCGCCAAGCCCTGCGGACAACAAGGGGGAGAAAGCACCTTCAGCAACAACGTCTGCTCCGGGGACCGTCTTTGCAGTGGACGAGGAGGTCCACGTAACACAGCTTAATACTGTCAAGAAAAACTAAGAAAATTTTCTCCACGGTATGCAAATTATTGTGAGATTAGATTTAAAAAATACTTTAAATATGTGTTTTGGGGTTTTTTTAAGGTTTTGCTTTCTAGAGATGTAGGGCTTGGTCACATCCAGCTTTTTTTCATAGCCCCAGAAGTAATTTTTTTAATATCAAAATACATCCTGAGATTCAGCAGTTAAAGCTTGAAAAGACAAGACATCAAGTATTACAATTCCCGTGATAAAACCCTGAGACCTGGCAGCACCCTATCAGTTACTATGAAACCCTTGCTTTGTTTGCAACCACTTCTGTAGATATCCCCAAAATAACTAAACTCAACACTGCTGGAAGAGCGCAACTCTTATTTGAACCCTCATTTGAACTGGAACACTCATCTTTATCTACAACCCGCAGCTCTCCTTGACTTCTAAGCAATGAGTTAGTACACCCGAGTCCAGCCAAAACCATGGCAGTTTGGTCAGAATAGAGGCATTTAGTTTCTTACTGACACCCTGTGAGATTTCATCGTCTGCTCAGTTTCCCAGTCTGAAAAAAATCACCTCTTTTATTAAAAACACAAGCCTGAAATGATCTACCTCTAGGAAACCCATGCTGCATTTTCCTTCATTGTCTGCTTGCCTTCACATCTAATTAATTTTTCCTCAAAAAATTGTTCAAGTCTTGCATGCTATCTAGCTTGTGAGGAACGCGTCTCCAATGGTACGGATCATTTTCTTTTTCTTAATGAAAGGGACTTTATTTTCCATTCTTTCACTATATAAAGGAGACCTACTAAACCACCACACGCTCCATGTTCAGCACTGCCTGACTTTAATCAGCTGGTTTACTCTCTAAATACAAGGGACAAAATGGAAAGGGGAGCATGAAGGTGTTGAGCAATCCCTCGTTGCCCAGCGCTGACTGTCCCTAGTACTAGGGAGCAGATCCGTGCACCGGGGTGGACTGGTCAGCTTCCCTCCGAAGCTAACGAGCGATGCACAACCACATCCCTCATTCCCATCACACAGGAAAACATTTTCCACCATTAACCAGGAGGGACGTACGGGGTGTTTCAGCCAGTGATCCTTGAACACGGGGCGCATCTTCTTGTGAACCACCACTTCTTGCAGGTCCTCAAGGGATGGGTGCTGACCTATTTCTTCTTCGAAAGGCAGCATGTATTCATCCACTGGACCTAAGGTGCACATGGAGAACCGTGTTAGTACAGAAATCTCCTCCACAGAGAGGAGAAATCTCCGCATCCTCCCCATGCATGACTGAGCTGCGGCTCCAGAGCAGCCTCAACCCACCGCAGCAAACCCTGAAGTTCACATGTCACTGCAGACAAATGTGATTTACATTCCTCCTGCACAATGGACTCTGCTGTCCCCGCTGCTTGTCTGGCCATGAATATTCCACCTCGTCGAGTTACAAATCCAAACCCTCAGCTGGGCCTCCCGATCCCACCGCTCTCCTTGAGGAGGCTTGCCGAGTAGTCCATGACTTATTGTAACAGGAAGAGCAAATCAGCCCATCCTCCTCACATTTTAACATAGCAATTCAACACACAATAACCTAGACAAAAGGTTTCGGCATGAGCATAATTTCATTTTAGGCACTGACTAGCAAGGTCAAGCATACAACACTTATAATTTCTTGCTTTGTGATCTGGCTTGTTCATAGGTTTGAGTCAGCCCTGACATGCTGGAGCCAGATGCACTTGTCCCAAGTACCAGCTCCTAAGTGCAAAATGATTTCTGAATGCTTTAGTTATACCAGTTATGGCTGTGAACTGCCCTGGGCCACGGGAATGAGACAACTGTTAAGAATCAGTGCAGACGCTAGATGTAGCAATAACTTTTGCTTATTGAAACATCATTTGGCCTTTGGCAACGCGTAGACACTCTCACAAATGGCAGCCCGGCTTAACTGATGGGCTTTCCCAGGGTGCTCCGCAGCATCACTTAAGGTTTCTCAGTAGCAAAGAGTGATCTCTTTCAAGGGTGGAGATATTTCAAGAGGGCCTTTCCAAACTAAAATAAAAGAGCTGACCACTTTAGCTGGTCATGAACTGTGACACCAAGAACATGATGTTTAGGTACTCAAAAAAAAAAAAAAAAAAAAAAAAAAAAAAATCACTGAAAGAGCTTATCGTTACTCTTGTTGACACAAGGTCAGTCACTAAACCAAACTGAAACACTCGCTAGAACGGATGGCAAAATAACGCTCATGACCTTCCCTTCCTCTTCCTCCAAGAGGAATCAAGGCTATGAAGAGCTGCACTGGTGGTCTCCAAGCCAAATCATGGTCACCAGCTATCCCACAACTGGAATTGAGTCAAAGCTCTGGTTCTGAAGTTACATTCACTGCCTTTCAGCTCCACACATCAGGACTAGGGTCACTGGTCACTGAAGCCAGCAGACATGACTCTGACCACAAAGATGGAGCAGATCTGTTAAATAAGTTGATGCAATTTAGACAACATCACTTCTGAGCTAAAAGTGCAAATGAGGTTCAGCATTAACACCCCTCATCCCAAAGGAAGCCTTTCCTCCAATTTAACGGTGCTGTGTAGGACACCTGGAGTAGCTTGGCCAGCTGCTGCCTGAGAAGAGTTGGAAGGAGATCACAAACATGACAGGCAAAAATCCAAGCGGATATCTGGGGGGGCCTCAACAGGGAAAGGTTATTCCTACATCTGACAAAGACCTGCAGAGTGATCTGGGTACCACTGTTTCACCCCACTGTGCTCCCACCTCCCTGCTCCTCCAGCATTTTACCTGGTTAGCTAGGAACTTTTTGAAGGAAACACCTTCTCTTACCACATACTTATGCAGACATCCTAATTATAATCAAGCTCCTTGGTGCTACTGCAATACTAACAAAAATGTTTGAAGTCCAGGTGAGGTACTATTAATTTATTAACTTGATAGCCAGTCCAGAGCACCCATATCTACACAAGAGGAAAGCAGTTGGAGCAAGCAGCCTTGGAGCTACTACAATGAAATGATTGCTTCCCTGACCAGGGGCAAGATCCTGCAAATGGCGAGGGGTGTCACCAAAGGGCAGATGTGCTATTTGGACAGAAAAAATGCCCCACATTGCAGCATCATTTTAGGATAAAAAAACTGAGAAAGGAGATACCATGAAAGTTCATTCTTTTGGATCATTCAGGAGAAAGTGAGATCTTCCAAAGCTGTAGATGGAACAACAAACTCAGCCCACTGCTGAGAGAGAGCTTGATCAGCAAAACTCAAAATTTATGATAGCGGGGAAATGGACTTGCTGACCCAAGAAGATCCTTTCAGCCCTGTGTTCCTGCTATTTCACCAAGGTGCTTCACTTTGGGCTTTCCATTGAGGCTACCACGCTGCCCTGCAGAAGTGAGGTGTGACAGCCAAGCCGGAGCTGAGCACAGCTCTTCTCTGGAGCTCAAAGCCTGCCCTGGTCACCCACAGGAATGCAGAGTGCCACGGAGAGCAGCACAGAGCAGGCTCAGGACTAAAGGACATCCCACCATCGATGGAGGAATCACCTACTCCTTCTCCCTCTGAGTTCCAGCCCATTTGCAGTGTAACCAGCATAATTAAAAGCACTTTGAGATTTGAACACTACAAAGGTTATTATCTACAGAGAACGACAGCTTATGTTAAAAAACAAGCAAGTGAAAAACAGGTTAGCTGCTTAATAAAAATACACCATTGATTTTTTGTTTGTTTTGTTTGAAACAAAGCCAGGCCCATTCTCTGGACACTAAACCACACTGAAACAGAGCCCTCCCCAGGGACGAGACAATCTTTATTCTTACCATCAACTGCTCTACATCTGGAGACTAGCTCCCACAACACCAGTCCCATTGCATACATGTCTATTCTCAGGAAGGCGTCTCGCTGGAAGTTGATTGCTCCCTCTAACACTTCGGGAGCCATATACCTCCTTGTTCCCACCTACAGGAAAAAAACACAACTCAAGTTACATTCCAGTTGGGCCCATCAGCCTCCACTGGTTGGAGATGAGTGACAGCTGGTTTCATTAGCCTTAAGGCTACTTCTGCTAAAGTTGCACCTCACCTGAAAAACAAGCAAAAGGGAGCAGTTTTTTCTGACACCGATTCTCATTAAGATCACTTGAGTCTAGATAAGCTACCTGAAGGAAAAAGCCAAAGTGCATAGCTACGTGTGTGATATTCATTCAGCGTACGCTACAGGTCTAATTTAAATGCAGCACGGCACGGTGAATACGGATGAAATCCTGCCTTCCCCGCGTCCCACCGCATCTTGCTCCAGCAGCACACACTGCATGAGAAAATGCTGTCTTTGGAGACACACAGAACACCCTGAGGTCAAGTCAGACTTGCTTATCATAGTCGTTGAAAGTTCAATCCCCTTCACTAAAAAAAAAAAATAAAAAAAAAAAAAAAAGCGTAAAATTGATATATCCTGAAAGGTAGGAAATGGTGTTGGTTTGACAGCCTTGCATTAAAAAAATGTCTCCTGCATCCACAGGAGTAGGAAAGCATGAACCCTGCAAAGTCTACCCTGCCCTGGCTTGCTGTGATCTGTTCGGAAGAGATCCCCTCTTGCTTTGAGGGGATTCAGTCCTCATTATAGTGCCGATCTTGTTGTTTTTAGTCCAGGCAGAGACACACCGAGTTCCTCATGTGGTTGTGGTTATATACATGGCAGAATTATAGCCCATAATATAGAAGAGTGGAGAGCAGAGCAAGGAAAAAAAACCCACCTTTTTAACATGGGAATTGAAATGCCTTTAATATTTTCCTTTAGGAAATTCTCATCTGTTCTTGCTGTTACCTGAGGCAGTGGGGACAGGCGGAAGCCAGGATGTGAAAAGGCATGGAAAATACTGGAAAAGCCCCAAAAAAGAGGGCAAAAATGAGGAAAGCTGCCAGGGGCTAACCCACAAAAGCGTTCACTCCTGAGATAAAGGTAAAAAGGGAGCCTGCATTGGAGATGGGCATTCAAAAAAACCCCAGAGGCACAAGGAGGGGATGTTGGCCTTGCTGTGCCCCGGGCACGAGAGCAGAACAAGGGGCCGCTCGCCACAACGCAAAGGCAGAAAATTAAGAACCCATAAAAACACAGCAAATTGTTTACGCAGCGCAGAGCCACCTTGCAAGATCTGCCATTGCTAAAGGTCACCCAAGCAGCCAGCCTGGCTGAATTCTTAAAAATAAATGAATAATTTTAGGAGTATTAATATTTAATACCGAGACAATAAAGAGTCAGCAAGTCGTGTGTTTGAAGGAAGAAGCCACGTGCCCCTGGGGCCGCGGGGACTCCACCTGCACAGCGGTCGGGAGGGTCTGAGCACTCTCCCCGCTCACCCAGGTCAAAGCAGCTCCTGGAATTTATGCCCGAGCACAAGTTTTTATGGAAAAATACATATCTTGAAGAGAATTAAATGTGTCTATACGAACTACTCCCCACTCCTGAGGAACTATGGCAAGCTCAACTTTTTAAAATATTATTGTTAAAGATAATGATTACCTGTCCATGAGTGTCCCCTGGAGGTTTCCCAGGCTCAAACCGTACAGCTAGTCCAAAATCGGCTAGCACTGCCGTCAAGTCGTTCTTCAGCAAGACATTTTTACTCTTGAAGTCCCTATGGACAAGCCAAGAAGCAAGTTTGGGAAGGGTTTATTACGGCACGTGTCTAAATCACATTGCAACGCTCCACGTTCTAAGTCTATAGGCTTAGCAGCCTCTAGTAAATCAGCTCCTTCCTTCCTTCCCCGGCTGCCCGGCACAGCCAGCACTGGCAAATTCGGCTGCTCCTCGCTGCCCGTGTCCCTAAACCACAATCAGGCAGCCCTGTGCTGCCCAGCACAGCATCAGCCAAACTCTGTGGTGAATTAACCTCAAAATAAAAGCAAGCAGTGATATGAAGGGGGTGTTTTAATTAGAGCAGGCAGTGTAAGGCACCATTTCTTGCTCTGAGCACCAGCTGTGGACCCCCACCTCTGGGCATTTCTCACATTTCTCACTCCCAACAACAAAAGCAAGACAGTTAAGGGGATGCATTTACTCCTTATCCTAGTAAGGATGTTTGCTCCTATCTACAAAATTAGATGTTCCTGGAAATCAGCAGATGCTCGTGGGACTCTCTTCACCCTGACTACACGCTTCGACAGACTTTTGCCATAGTCATCTATTGCACTTATGTTTTAATTCCCAGATCGATCTTCTGCAGAGAATTCAGAGGCTTGGAAAGCAAGCAGGGAAGGGGGTCAGCCCTCACTCAGACAAGCTGTCAGGATCGGACCAGGCAGCTGACGGGCAGGTGTAAGCATTTGCAGTAGAGATGGTGGGTCTGTGCTTGAAGGTGGCTTTAAGGGGACGTTTGTGTCAGTCCTGTGCTGCAGTGGGATCATTTCAGGGCAGCTCAGGTAAATCTGCAGGGGCTGGAAGGCGGGGGGGTAGGGGAGGTGGAGGAGGGTCACACCAAGATGCCTAGCCAGTCAAGCCCTGTTCCCTGGGCTTCCCACATTTTCATCTGAAAAGGAATGTTTGGCAATCTAATTAAATTACAGACCTTAGACAGCAGATGGCAATTGTCCGGTATGCTCAGCATTATAATTTCCCTATCATCAATTCACTCGGTGACCCTGCTGATTGCAGGACATTGCAGGCCTGCACAAAATAATTAATGAGGGCAGATACAATTGTTCCGCACTAGAGAGACCTGTCAAAATTCTTTGGGAAGAGAGAAACTGCTGGACCATAGAGAAAGGCTGCTCGCTGCGGCCTCGGATGCCAGAGCACCAGCTCAAAGCACCACGAGCAAAAATCATCCTGTAGCACCCAGCCCCTGATTCTGAGCTTAAAAAATCAGAAGAAAGGATTTTTCCTTTTTAAGCTAAACACAGCATGATGGGCATTTCTGACTCGAGGATTAAGATGGGGAGAGTGGGTATGAAGTTGGAGAGCATTGTACAGCCAGGGAACCCCAGCAGAAACCAGCCTCCATCACCTCAAGGGGACACATGGGGTTTCCAGGGACACAGTACAGTTTTGCAGAGCCTGCAAAACATTTGTATCCCTCCGTTACAGAGGAAAACACCATTTACCTAATACCTGTCATCTTAGACACTGACTGCTTCTGTGCTATAGCAGTTTCCCCACAGGCTTAGAAAACAGCCATCACCTAATGACATAGATAAACTCCTTTGCTCGGTCAGCATTAGGGGATTATGCCTTCCAGGATGGTACAGATTGTGCAAGAGATTTTTGCAAAACGGTGGCTCAATAAGGACCACAAAGAAATTATTAGACGGTCTGCATGAATGATACGTTTCCAAAGTGAAGCAAGATGTAAACCAGTATCATCATATAGGCATTTGCCGCTGCTGTTCACCCACAGTGCCCTTTGGGCATGCAACAGTTAACTACTACATCTTGATACGTGATGCAGGGATTTCCCTTTGCGCTTCTTTTTTTCCCCCTATTTCCGTACATTTCCCCATTTTTCCATGCTATCCTTCCTTTCACAAACCACCCTGAACTGGCAAGTGTAAGCTGAAATGCAAACATATGCAGGACAGGGAGAAAGACCTCATCCAAGCCATGCCAAGTAGAATTCCCACTAACACCGTATGCATTAGACCATCCTAAAATGGTCACCAATAAAAGAAAGCGTCCTGAAAAGAAAAAAAATATCTTTTTCCATGTAATGCTTCAAACTAGAGAATAAGAAAGCGAGCAGACTATGAACAACGGGTGCAGTAACTCGATTCAGACACCAGAGATTTTATTTTCAGCTTCCACGTGGGGGCACTTTCGCACCAACAAGCAATCCCGTAACCTTAATCCTCCTTGTATTGCCGGGGGCCAGTAAGGAGTTCGCTGAACCCCTGCCCAGCAATGACTCGGGGAGCCCCACCTGGGAACCCCAGCATCTTCGCGTGCATTGTGAGAAGCCATTAAAAAAATACCATCTCCCTCCCCACTCCTCGATTTAAAATGTATTTGGCGTTTTCTTTTAAAACAAAAATAAAAGGAGTGGGATAATCCAAGGGAAATCCCCTGTGTCCTGAAATCCCTCTTCCGTAGGTATGTGCTAAATTCACACAAATGGTGCATTCTCCATCTTTTATCATTTGCTAAATGGATGGGGACACTAATGAGCACGATCTGTTGCTTTAAAGCCTTTCTATAGCCTTTCTCTGTTCCCCACCCTCAGGAATTTTCATGTATAAACCACTGCCTTTATTCCACAGGGACAAATGTCAGGGACACAGGGGTCAGCTCCAGGAACAGCACAAAGGCAGCTGCAGGCTCTTTCAACAGCCCCCAGCTCTCAGAAACCTTCAGGTTCGGGGAGGGCGGTTGTTTTGGGGGCAGGGACACCCTTGCAAAACCAGGGATTATCTCGCCATACACGAAGACGGCCCCGCTAGATCGGGTACAAATTGCTGCAGCTGGACGTGGGGTTTAAGTCCCTCCTAGATGAAACGTGGTGGGTGGAGGGGGAGTATGGCCACGGATTACGGCGTGTAGCCCGCGTAAATCCCTTCTGGAAAACTCCCCCCTCCTGCCGTGCCACTAGCAAACCACCCGGTAGAGATGCTTTAGTCCAGGGCAAGCAACGTGGGACTTCGGAGAAGGGCGAAAACAAGTACGGTTTCACCCAGTGCTTTCTGGGTTCCCGCTGTCCCCACGGCACTGCCACGCAGGTGGGTTGAAGCGTGTGCCAAGAGGTCTCAGGGGCACCGTGGTGCCTGCTCTGGTGTCTCTCATAAACACCCTGGCACGTCTTGGGCACTATAAAACTACAGTGAAAAATATATAGCAGCCATTTTCTGCATTTCTACAGTTTCTCCATTTCTTACCTAATGATCAAAAGCTCTGTGGGAAGACACACAGTGGAGTTATCAGTCTAAAACACTTAGGGAAAAAAAGAGTCCAAATCTTGGTACGGCCATAGAAATACATGGATTATAATGTGATTTATCAAGCACAGTCCTTTAAAAGAGCGGTTCTGCAGCAACCAGATTTCCCTTTCCACTACAAGTCAGGAGAAGAGTTGTTGGAAGAGTGAAGCACCTACCCTTCAGACATTTGCCATAAAGCGCTACCAATCATATGACTGTTTCACGGACAAGACGCTTACTTGCCCTTCACCATTTCATCTGTGGTTGAAAACCAATCTTGTCTTAGCATAGGGTTTGTTGGGTTAAAAGGCATTTACTTCCTAAAAGCACAATCTCCTCCATTCAACAGCATCATTTCAAAGAGGTTGCAAACATTTGAATGCAGCACTTGAATGGTGTCAACAAAAGAGGCCGTACCTGTGTGCTATAGCAGGTTTGTGTCCTTCACCTTTGCACCAAGGGACATCTTCATGAAGGTAGGACAAGCCACGGGCCATTGTTTCTGCAACATGGCAGAGCTCATTCCAGCTGATAATATTGCCCTTCAGGTAATCCGTCAGAGAGCCCTGTGAAACAAGACATCATATGTTCTTAATCGCAGACCCTGCTACGTGACAGTTATGCCAACTCATCAGTTTAGAAAATGGTTTTAATGAGTGTTTGAGAAATCTGAACCTTGATTTAACAGGGGGGAAGAAATCACTAGCGGCAGTAAAAAAGAAGAAGTAGTAAAAACCAGAAGTGTTCATGAGACCTCAGCCCTTGACAGCACAGAAAGTATCTGGATGTCCAAAAAGATGTCCACTAATCTGCCAGGGAATGGGAGGGAGGTAAGGAAGGCACAAAATCATCTCAAAACAGAGCAATTCATCCAAGCTCAGAAAGGGGAAAGCCTTCCATGCAAGAAGATGATGCATTGTATCAGCTGGTTGTGGCAATGATTGACTCAGTAGACCTTGGATTAAACAGAGGGATAACGCTGCTGGCTCAACCCCGGATTTGTGCGTGTTTGTTTTATTTGAAGTGTTAGTCATGTTTGATAACTAAAGCAATCCATGAAATGGGAGATATGCCCCAAGCTTCAAAAGCAAACACGGAGCCCATCAGCAAAGGGCGAGTTGGGATGGCAACGGTCTGCGACACCCGGCTCCCACGTGTTCATCTACGCACATTAAGAGATGGTGACCGCCACAGACGTGAGCTGTGGCCTTTTGTGCCTCTCTCTCTCCTCAAGTCCCACCTTTATTAATCCTACGTTTGTGTAGGAAAGCCTTAAAAGCTAAAGGAAGAGTCTTCGAAGGAGGGGAGCAGGAACACTTCTCCACTACCAAGCCGTGGCTCACCAGGGACAAACTGGCTAGATTACAGAGGAGCTTCTGGGAGAATATCAGACACCAAACCCTGCTGCTTCACAACCAGCTGCCTCTGTGCCTTCCCAAAATGTACACGCAATGATACGTTACCTTGTCGTGGAAAGCTGTGATCAGCCAGAGCTCTGTCTCTAGGTTTGTCCCTCTTTTCTCTGCTGCGATAAATTGCAAAAGGTTTTCATGCTTCATGCCAGGAGTATTGAAAATCTCCCTCTCACTCTGCCAAGACTGCTTATCCTAAAGCAAGGAGAAATGCACCATCAAAGATCACGCTTCCTTTTAAAGCAAACAACTCCTTCAGCTCAGTCAGAGCTGCTCAAGGTCCTCTTAATATCATCCTCCAGCATTTGGATGTGATGTATCCCTTCAAAATGAGGCTGTTTTCCTAAAGGGTAGATACTAGAGAAAGACTGGAAGTTGCTGTTCTCAGTCTCCCTTCTCCAAAATTATCCTCAGCTATTCCTAAAGCACATGTGGGGGGAGGGGGGAGGAATCCAAACTCAACCTCACTGAGAAATAAGATTTATTGAGATTTCCTAAGGTTGCTTGCAAGAATAAAGCCTGTGCATACAGCACCCAGATCTGCATTGTAGCTGTAATTGTTATGATTACAAAATCTAATCTAGGCTCTATTGAATATTTACTAGTAAGTCACAGCTGGCTTGGACAGAAGATGTGCAAATCTCCTTTAGCAACGCTATGACAACAAATACAGGGCAAAAAATTAACGAAGAAGGAGACAGCGAAGGAACACAAAGATGCTTCAGTCCTTCTTCTTTCATTTGACTTTTGATTGCTTTACTGTTTCCATCTGCAACTCCTAGAGAGTCAAGTCAGGAGTGTTCAAAGGTTTCCTAGAGCGTAAGACATGAACTGACAGAAATGCTGCAGTGCAATTGGCTTTCACAGCGCTGGGGCTGTGCCTTTGTAAGCTGTAAACTGTTTGCTAGGTTCGGGTCCGGATTTACAATCTACCCAGGCAGGACACACAAAGCTGGGGCTTTGATCCTTTGTGTGCACTTTGGGCATCGCAGCTGCACGCTGCCTTGCTGGACTTTAACAACATGGACATTTGCAGCAAAGTTAAAATACCCTGTAGATCTCAAAATGTGCTTGTTATTGCCCTTCTTGCAACAACTACTACTACAGGAAGCATTTGGTAATGAGATAACATAGAGAAAAGTGTAGGAAGGTCCTTGAACTTTTTCCCCCAGCAGAAGAGTCCAAAAGCATCTTTGTTACGGTCTTAAAAGCACCTCCATCGGCACTTAGAGCATCTCAGCCCCGGTGAGGAAGCCCAGTGAGTGAGAACCTACTGCAATGCCCTTCTCACCTGAATAGGGAAGATTTTCACTGCTACGTAGTCATTCATCAGCTGAGCCTTCCACACGCAGCCAAAGCGTCCCCTCGCCTTGATCTCCAAGAGCTGCAGAGGCTTTAGGCCAACCAGGGGAGAAGGGGGTGGTGGGCCGGGGTCCTGCATGAGAGAAAAACATTGTCACCAGCTGAAGCTGGACTGTAAAACGAAGGGAGGGGAAAAATGGAGAGATTGCATATGGGGAAAGTGGCGTAAAGAAGTGACATCTTATTTAATACAAATTATTTAGATGTACTGTTTGCAGCAAGAGCAGCCCCAAATTCCCTATATTGCTCTGTAGGGTATTTGTATAGAACATATATAACAATCTACACCTCCAAGTGTCACTTTGTGTGTCAAACTGCTGCCTGCCATCCTCTGGCAAAACCTGAATTCTCCTATGTTTTCAAAGCAAGAGCTATTTTGGGCTGTAAAACATTGATGACCTCAAGGCTACCTCCTGCCAAAAGTAGGAACTTTTTGATCTTTGTGACCCAACAGCCAGCTACTCCTAAAACCTCCCACTGCTTTGCACTTCATTAGGTGTGTTTCACATAACCCTAGCAATGGGCAATAAACAGGTCTGTCAGCATCATAAAGATCGTATCTGTTTAAACTCTGCATTTGTCCAGGAGAACAACACAACCCTGCAGGACATGTGGGGTTGGAGCTCTGTGCTGCTTTCAGATGGGAAATGTTCACAGTATGGGCTGTAGTGGGCAGAGGAGGGAGGGAGAGAGAGGTAGCTGCTCGCTCTTCAGAAGGAACCAGAAAGCGCAGGGCACAGCAGAGCCAGCAAGGACCAGTTCCTGATGGCTTTGGGCCATGAGGATGACCTCCTGCATGCATTCTCTAATGGCTCATAAAAACTGAGCTTCAACAGGGAAAGCATCTCCCCTTGCCCCATAAAGCTGGTAGGAACTTTATCATCTCTCTGATCTCTGCTCCGCTGCAGTTGGCTGAAATCAGGCAACGGGTTTGAGAGTTTGGGGGGAAGGGCAGCCACCAAGCAGGGCTGTGTAACTCCATCCCTTAGGAATCTTGGACACGGTGATAACCCCGTCTAAACGCATCAGCCTCACAGGGGCTGCGAACACCACCACAGAGGCCAACTGTACCACCAACTTCAAAAAGACAGAGAAGAGAAGTTAGGCCACCCAAAAAGAGTGAAGCAAAAGTGGATGTGAATAAATACTGAGCAGCCTCCGTGCCTCTTGTAAGGTCCAAATAAAGGGGAGTGACTCCCTCACCTCATTAATGTCGACATGCCCGTAGGGAGGCTTGCGGTGACGGTACATCCAGAAGGCCAAGAGAATGGCCATGGAGAGGACAGCGATGGGGAGCAGCGAGTACACCAGGATGTTGAGCAGGGAGGGCGTTGGCGGTGGCGGCTCATATATGACTGTGAGAAAACAGCAGGGTAAACGAGGGGAACGACCCTTCAGGCACGCAACAGCACTGTCAGCTACACGTCCAGATGCAACCAAACCCCATCCTTCCTTCTACTCCAAAGTTGACAATGCTTAGTGGCATGTCCCATCACATCCAACAGTATTCACAAGGCTCTGCGGTCTACTTTTTTCCATATGGCTATTAGTAATGGCGTTACAATGGTCCAAACCACACTTTGCAAGCCGAGCCTTCATCTGACCTTTATTTAAGATGGGTATTTCTTGCTGGGATACGTAAAAGCAGAAAATTTCCTCCTCTTAACCCTTGCAAATGTATTAAGTGAGCACGAAATCCCTCACAGCGTTGCTTTGCCTTTTACAGTGATTGACAAGATGTCAAGTTTTTAGTAAAATGCTGCCGGAGCCACAATTAAATGCACTATTCCCACAGTAGTTCTTGTTCCAAATTACATCAGTGCAGTTGAGACACAAACAATGGGAATACTAAATGGAGCCATGTTGCTATGTTGGAGGCAGGGAAGGAAAAAATAGCAAGACTTGCCAAATTAAACAAAAAACTGTGAGAGAAAGAATATTTTCTACTAGGTTGCTACGGGTACATTAATAACAGGAGATAATAAAACCCATGTAAACAATTAAAAACCTAACAGGAAAGCCCAGGAAAATCTGATAATGGTCTACTGGAACATCTCGGTAAATGTAGGTAGTTGATAGCAAAAGAAATCCTCCTAAGGAAAAGATCCATCTGCTTTAATAATTTTTATTGAATGCTACTTTAGCAAGCATACAGCTAAAAGAATCATCATTTTTCTATTAGCCTCTGAAGAAGGACCTGCTATTACTTTTCCTCCTTGACGTATATCCACAAACTCTGAAAGCTGACACACACACCCATTCCCTTTCAATCCCCAGACCAACAATATAGCAATCAAATGCAAAAATCCCAGATGCTCACGGTATTTGGAGACCTGTAACCTATGAAAATTAATGAAGAAGGCGTCAAATACCTTTTCAGAGTTTGAGTTTTGATCCATGCTGTATAAATCACTTTGCCCTCTTCCCCTTGTGCTGCATTTTGGTTTGTAATATCCCTCTGTGAACATCCACCATAAAGAAAACCTAATCCTTACTGATGGTATCTGAGGTGTTGACGCAACACACTTTACCCACAGAGCGAAACAACCTTAAAAAACTATTCTTAAAGAACCGTAGCAGGATTTCTGGACTTTGTAACCAAAATGGTACTTCATATCCTGTCGGATGCATTTTTTGCTCAACATCCAACAACTCAAAGTCATCACCAACTGGGCCTAGAGGAAGAGACCCCAACTCCCCATCCACCCAGTCACTCACCTTCTGGGCCGGTGACTTCAGGCAAATGGGTAAATTTCTCATTGCAATAGTTGCCCTCGCAGCAGCAGAAAAACACTTGAGGGTTTTCTTCTGTGGCTACGCACTCCTGCCTGCATCAGGGAGGGACAGACACGGCGAGGAAGGGAAGAGAAAAAAAATGAAGTCAGCCAATTCCTGCCTCTTGTCTTTGGGAGCAAACCTGTCCCAAATCACCTTCTCCACGCACCTTCTCCTGCTGCTGCGCTGCACAGATCGGCAGTCTCCACTTAGAGAAAACAACTTGGCACTCAAATACCCCAGTGGATAGCAAAGACCCTTGAAAAGACCGTAAAGGAAACAAATGCTTCCATATGTACTGAAGGCATTAGATGGCGAGTAATAAATAACAGCCGCTGCCGCTAACTGAATGAGAAGCAGAAAAACAATGGAGAGATGCCTCCTTCCCAAGAACAATGTCTTTCCCACAGCCCGTATGTATGCTGTCGGGGCAGAGGAGTCTTTGATCGTGCAATTAAAGATTGTGCCATAACGCATAAAGATGAGGGCTGAGCTAAGACTGCTCTCACAGCCTTGAGCATCACTAACTACGCACTAGAAGGGCACCAGACACCAGCAGCAACAGTCCTGCTGCAGGCAGGAGGGAGGCTGCAAGTTTTGGTTTTGGTTTGTTTTTTTTTATAAGGTTTAATTTCCAAATGCCATTTCTTTCTCCTTTAAAAAACTTATTCCTGCACAAAAGCCTTTAAGAAAATCAGGTTGCAGCTCTCGTTTTTTGTATTTGCCTGTTATCAAGGTAGCGCTACAGTCTTCTCAGCACTGAGGTTTCCTTCCACACTGTGCAAGGCGTTAGGGGACTTTCACAGATCAGACCAACTCCACTTCCACACATCCTCCCTCTCCCACAGATCAATGCCAAGAGAGACATGCAGTGATTTTCGCAGTGCTCTAGGAGTCATTTCTTTCTCTTTCTTAAATGCCTGCTTCCCTTCCCTGCCACCTTTTGCTACGTTACCCTCTGCTTTTAGTTATTAGGGTTGCAGAGCTGCTCTCTGCAGAGAACTGTATCAAACTATTTCCTGAAGCCCAGCTAAATTATATGCATAACTTCCTTCCTTCGACCACTCGGAGGAAGCAGCAAAACAATCATATGTGTTTGACATTATTACTCATTTATGAACCCATGCCAAGCCTCCCTTTCTGTGGTATCACTGACATACTGCCACAAGAAGAATGGAAAGGGCTCTCTTCAATCATAACGCAGGGTAGTTTTCAGTGCTTCATTCCTTTTGGGGGAAAAAAGTGGTTACAGCCAAAACGTCTCCTGCAATGTCTCAGCTGGGAAGCACTTGGTTTGTTTTCCAGGCTTTTATTTTTTTTAAACTTCAAAGAAAAAAAGCAGCTATTTGACTTATTCAAATGAACAAAGATGTTTCAACAAGTTAAGCAATGTTTCCAGATGCTTTTTCGTAAAATCAGATAACAAGCCCTTTGGATTTAACAGCATCAGTATTGGAGTCTTCAAGAGAAAACACATCCTTTGCTAAATCTGTTGGTTAAGAAATCAAGCTAATGAGTGAAAACAGCCTGCTCCACATCTGCAATTCATTATCCCTGTCTTTGAGTTGGTGTGCGCTCAGGGCAGCCATCCAGGTACATATGACATGTTATACTTAGCAAATATTACAAATGAGACAGCGGAAGAGAACGACACATTTTTCTATGGCAGCGAGGGCACGTTTCGTAGCGGTTCACGTGCTCTTCAAGGGAACGTGAACACGACCTCTCCGGTGGGGCTGTGTAAATAAATGAAGAGCACACAAGTCGATTTTTAAACACTACCTTTTTCCTATAACCTTAAACGTACATGTGCCACGTTCTTGTTTCCTTAAGATAAAAAGCAGAGTAAGGAGCCATCACCCTCAACGTCCTAACCCCTGCATTCCTGAATTTTTCACCTTCCAGCGACAAGGAGGCAGTGCTTGGCACGTACCAGCACGTGCTGCCTCTGCTCCAAGAGGAGCTGCAGCCCGGCAGAATAGGACCATGTCCTGCATCCAGGGGACACTTTTGCAGATAGAGGTACAGGTGCATCTCCTGAGGCTGCACCCAGGAGCTTGGCATCCAAAGGTAATGAAGACAGAGACAAAAAGGGTGTCAGCACAGCACCGTAGATCAAAAAATCACCTTTTTAGCCATTTTTGCCACCTTGGGATGCAACACTACCTGCATGAAAGACGGCCAAGGGCATTCAAGGGAAGGAAAGAAAGAAAAAAAAAAAAGACTGCATTTAAACAGCCTTTATTTAATTAAAGCTAACCTTTATTTCAAATGTTGCTTTCAACACTTGTACTGTTTGTTAATTCTCAGAAGATCTTTTAGCTTTGCCCTGGAACTGCGGCTTTGAAGAATCAGGCTGCAGGATAATGGATGCTCAACCCCAGGGCTGCAAAAAGGCTTGTGAGGAGCCCTGGAAACTTTTTACCGCTGTAACAGAGCAACATATTATGACAAAGTTTAAGAACCACTACATCCCTGCACAGAGACACTCAGTGACAATACAAGTGTCACTGTATACAAGAGCAGGCACTGAAAGGAGAAATCTGTTTACAGTAAACACTTCTGCTTGGAAGTAGGAAACTAGAGCGACCTTCTATTCTCAGAAGGATCGGCATTAAGATGACTAATGGGCCAAGGAGGATTGATTTATCAGGAAAGAATAAAAATTTAACTATATATAGAGCTTGACTGCGCAACTGGCAAGGGAATAGGTGTGGTGGGAAAGTAACCCCAGCACTAATAACAGAAGGAAGATGAGGAACAACTCACAGTCAGGACAAGATAACAGGCACAAAAGCATTGATAGTGTACAGCACCGAAGGGAGAAAACTCTCCAGCCATGGGACAAATCTAGTCCCAGCTTAAGCCCCACAGCTTAGGACCTGATGTCCTAAAACTTTTGGAACGAGAAGCTACAAAGATGCACAACTGCGCAAAGGTGAGATCAACCTACACTGGTGTTATATAAAGGCAAATCCTTGAATTTTATGTTCTGTTAATCCTTCTTGAAAAAGGTTGGGTTTGGGTTGGTTGGTTGGTCGTTGGGATTTTTTTAACAGAAACATTGAGTCTAGAGCTACAGAACATTGTCCTTTTAAACTGTGAAAAGTTCAGAGCGCTATTTTCTTAAGCTGTAGTTCTTTCCCCTCTGCAGAATTGCATCAAGGGAAATGAGAAAAGACTAGTTTATCTTCCCAGCTATTTAATGAGGCTGGAGCCTTCGTACTACAAACCCTCGCTCCTTTTCAGCTCACTACAGGCATTGACACACAAACACGCATATTGCTTTTGCTGCCCCACTCTTTCTCCTGGCCTGTCTCTCAACTCAGCCGAAGAACAGTGAAACTTTTTGCAACATCACAAATGCCAGAATATCTCTACCTTTAACCATCCCCAGATACTTGTGCTTTTCTAGAGAGCTCCAAATGATTCCAAGCTTTCCTTTGTATCGCCAATTGCTCTTGGAAAAACATATTGCTCTTTATTTGATGATACAGAACACGTTTTTCAATGCATGCCAAAATTATCAAAGCTTTGCTAAGGAAAAAAAACCCCAAACCTCACAACGAAAAACCCTCAAAGTGTCTTTTGCAGCTTCTATTTAGAAAGTCAAGGCAGATAAGTGACAATTCTGAGCGCTGCATTAGCAACAGAAGTAATTACAGGGGATGAATGGGCCAATTGACTTGGACTTACTTTCTTTTCCTTGATGCAAAAATCACGAGCCTTTGCACTTAGAGAAGCAATTAAACCTATATTCAGAAAAACCAGTTAGGCTATTACCTGTCATAACAGTTGAAGTCGTCTAACCAGCAGCCTTTCTTCACCAGCTCGATGGAGCCCGAGTTGTTTCTCCAGGAGGCGTAGCAGTGGAGCCGCTTGTCCTTCTCTCCCTCGCAGCGCTCCACGCCGCTCTGGTTGGTCTTCTCCAACTCCCAGTTGGCGTTGTAGTAAATGCATTCCCTTGTCTCAGCCTCCCCATGGCCCGGTCCTGAAGCAAAATTCAAACCCCAAGTACGTTCAAGCAAAATCAGAAACAGATCCTGGGAGACACATCTCCACGTGGCTGTGCTTTACGTGATGCATACGTTTGTCTCCCCGGGAGCTAAACAGCTCATCGACGTGAGCTTCAGCATGGTGCGGAGGGTTATTCCCCCTTGCTGATATGAGGTGGGGAATGGGGAGGTCAGGTTTGCGTAGGTTCACAACAGGAGTTCATAGTGAAGTCAAGAGCCCAGCTGAGACCCCCCTCAGGTTTCGTCTGGCCAGTGCTTCACCCACAGGACCCTAACAGAGGGATGTACAAGGCAACCCATACCCAGTATTTTCTAACCACAGAAACCCTGTTTAGGAAACGCAGCCTCCCAGGGTGCTACCTGCCGCTTGCTGGGACGTCACACACTGGATTTACTCTCCCTCTCCACCACTATTTTGGGAAACACAACCTAAAAATAAATGGTTTCTTATGCGGGTAGGATGTAACTGAGACTAGATAATATTCATCCTGCAGAGAAGGGCCAGACCATGCCTATTCCTCACTTAGAACCCAGTTCAGGCTTATTTAGATAAGTCTCCATATGATACAGTGCCATGTTTTTAGCTGCAGTTGACACAGCTCATGCTGCCTCTCCACACAAGACCTTCAGCAAAAAACACCTCTCTTCCCAAACAACTCTGGCCACTCCAAATGGACCAAACAAAGGAGTCTCTGTAGTCTGTGGGTCCTTCCCCTCTTAGAGCCTTGTACCAAAGGACTGAGTTCTTACTGCCCCAAGTAAAATGATTCCCCCATAGCCACCGTGGCACAGAACTGAAACTTGATTATCGACACGTCCATTAAAAATGGAGTCAAGTAAAGGGAACACTGGTATCTGCAGGTGACCTGTTTTGTCCTAAGCCTCATAAATCCTCTTCATTTAGAACTATTCTGCTTTGTGGCATTTTGAGGATTAGTTTAAAATGAGAAGAATGAAACAAACATGACATGTAAGCAGACAACCAGAAAAGGCACCATGAAGCTCGTGATTTAGTAAATCCTGAGATGCCATGCAGCCATCTCTCTTTGGGATTACCCAACCTAAGGCAAGGTCAGACCTGACCATTATTTTGATGGATTGCAATCATGGAAAACATAGGTATCCCAATAAAATGTGTTGACAACTGGGTAGAAAACACAAATGGGTCCCACAGGATGGTGAAATGAAAGTGCTGCGCTCCCAGAATAGCCAGACCTTTACAAAGTGCAGAACTAAGTTTCTGGCTGGAAAATTTTGCAGTGCTTTCATGACTCTATCTTCTCCAAAGGCCTTGCAACCTTTAACGTCGAGATTAAGGCAGTCAAGGCCATGTCTGGACGATCTAAATGCAACCCAACCTGTGATTCCCACTCAACACAGCAAACCAGCCAGTTCCAAAAAGTGTCTACAAGGTGATGCAATTCAGTCCTCGTAAGACACCAAGCAGCAAGTGGCTTACAGCCAGCAGAGAAAACATCCAGCCTGGGCACAGGCACCGGCTCCAGGTCTCGGATACCTTCTGTAGGTTCATCATTTCCATACCTGAACACCCATCCACTACTGATGTAAGTACCCTCACAACACCCAGCCAGAGAAGGGAGTGTTACTTCCAACTGAAGATTCAATGCACCAAGTTTAAACGACTTGTCCTATGTGATGCCAGGGGGAGCCTGACCTGCCTTTCCACAGCCTGCAACTCCTGAAGTTGCCAAGTCTCCAAGCTGCTACCTGGTGGCAGGCTTCACCTCTAGTTTTACAGTGCATGGAGAGCCCTTTAGAGATGGCACTTGAGCTAGAGATTGCATTCAATCTATTTGATGTAGCCTCATCTGCTGTAGAGAATCAACCTTCTGCTGCCAACAGGTGTCAAGCAAGGAGTGCAGATGACCTTGCACAGAGCAGAACTGCAAGAACGTTGCAGGAGAAACCACGGTTTCTGCACAAGCTAGGGGTGATGTGTGCAGCCTGCTCCTGATACTGACACCTGGACTCAGTGATGGGTAATTTTCATGGTACGGAGAAAACTCATCAGCCTAGGAAGATCTCTTTGCAAGCTGAAGAGGTGTTCAATCCTTCAGTAACTTTTTTGTGGGAAGAATGTTTAATCTGCATCATGGGAGAGACTGCAAGGGAGGAGGGGTATGAGACAGTCATAAAGCTGACTTCTGAAACTGGAAATTATATTCAAAGCACACACGAACAAGAGCTCAATTTCAATAGCACCTGCAGGTTTTATCGGCGCTTGCAAAGCTCCATCTGAGTTTTCCTCTGACAAGTTGCTTACTATAATAAAAACAACCTACCAATATCCCTCAACACAGAATAGTGTCAATATTGACACTCCTTGTTAAAGCCTTGATATTTGTTCTCTTGATACTTACACCACACTTTGTTAGGGCAGATTAAGCATCTTTTTTTTTTGCTAAATACTGGTTAAATCAGCAGGAAAGCGAAGGAGCATTGTCTTGTGTGCAGGAAGGGCGATATCTTTTTATTTATAAAAGAATAAGTAAATATCTGAGCTTCATTATAATATTACACATGGCTTCCAGCTGATACCTAATACTTACTATCACCTTCTGGTCCAGTCCTTGAAATACATTTTGTAATATCATTTCCATCATCCCAAACAAAATCCCTAGATAGAAATTTCCTCCCCCTCCCCAACTCCATCTCCCAGAAAGCACGAAGGTTTAATGAACCATTTGCCTGGGAAACAGCCCCAAAATCTAATCCTGGCTCAGCCACCTCCGTCTGTAACCTCGAGCAGTATTGTGTAGCCTCTGTTTTCTCCACCTGCAACAAGGGCCAATGCAACACACAAAGCTGCAGTGAGATTTGATGCTTCCACTGTGCTTTGAAAAGGGAATGTTAAAAAGATGTGAAGCAGGAGCTGTACTGGCTCTGGGACCAGCAAACCGAATCTGCTAAATCCTGTGCTGAGCGCAGGCTCCCTTCCCCCAAGACAGTCGTCTTTTCTGGAACAAGTTTCAGCTGAAGACTAAGATCTGCTTGCAAACACACAAACCCAACTCAGCAAACAGCAACCGCGCCAGGAGAAAGGCCTTTCGCAGTTTTTCCCCTGCTGTCAAAGTTTAGATGAATTGAATAAAAGCATGTATAAAGTTTTAGATGACTAAATACATGCATGTTTTCCTTAAAACAGCTCCAAAGGATGCTTGCATGAAGGAGACACTTTAACACCCTGTGTGTTTGCTACTTGCTTTCAGATCTTTTTAAAAAGCTGTTTGGTAAGGATCCTCATCCACTGGGTGCTCAGGACTGCAAGAAACCCTTCTGTTTGTGCCCAAAATGGTCTCAGCAGGAAAGGGCACAGCTCCAGGACTGGGTGTTAATCTACCTGCTGCTTTAGCTCATCAAGAAACACTCACACCTTGCTCTGTAATGGATCACGCAGAGACCAAAGTTTGTAGCTAACTGCTTTCTCTGCACTCGCTGCATTAAAACCCTCAACTGAATGGAGGAAGGGGAAACTGAAACAGGGTTTTGTCTCTCTGAGGGAGAACGGTGGGGGGGTGGTGACGAAGAGGAGGAAATCTGAGCTCCTGCATCTCCAAGAAGCCATGTAGTTCTTCCTGCCTCTTCTTTCCCCCTTGGGCAATGGGTACAGAAGTGCCCATTCCCCCAAGGCCACCGGAGTTCTGTAAGAAACACCGAGCTGGACACTTCTGCAGAGCAACGCAGGTGAGAGAGGCACAGATCGACCACGTCCTGCTTCTCATTTCAAGTTGCAAGAAAAATTGGAGGGTATTGCCCCAAAATGGGTGCTGGAAGCACTTGTCTCCTTCCACTGGACACAGCTGATGCAGCTAGGGTTGGGTTGGACATGAGTGGGTTTCCCTCAACACCCAGCAGCACAACCTGGCTCAAGGGAGGTGCTGAACCAAACCTCAGCAGCTGAGGGAAGGGACAAGATTAATTCTGGCAACAGAAAGCTTTCCCTGAAACAGAAGCCTTTGGGTGCAGTCACAAACCACAGCTTGAGTTGGACTAACGGGGCTGTGTCCCCCCAATCCTGCCCTTTCATCACCACGATGCTCTTGCTGTGTCCCTCATGCCAGCATTGGCACGTGGTAGGAAAGCTCCTGACCTCCTTCATTTGGTGGCACTGCCTGGTAAGGACACCCATGTTTAGCTTTTGGCAGAAAGTCAACAGGACTTGGGCGTAACGAGATATAAAATATTTGTTAAGCAAGTGTTGGAAGGCTGCTGTCAGAACTTGGTTTAATTCACTGGGCCCCTGTTCCCCTCCCACCTAACCCAACTCCACCAGCCACAAAGCAAAAGTTAGAGAAAAAAAAAAAAACAACTATTTCCCACCCAGTGGGGACTCCCATCAGGTACATGCAAGAGGTACAAACACAGGTGGAATCTGCTGGCCCTTGCCACTCGTATGCATCGTATAGAGATGTTTCAACCACGTCTGCAGAAACTACCGCAGGCAGAACCGCCTCGCTGCGTAGGCAGCGCTTTGCAGAAAATGCTGAGCAAGCAAACCAGGAGCATGCACATCAGGCAGGAGTGTGGCATCTCCAGCAGCGCAGCCTGCTATCAGCCCCAGTTCTCTCTACGGAAAAGAGCCTCGTGTCAGCAGCTGGGTGAAAACAATAAGCATTTCAATACCACAATCCACAAATAGTCTGTTAAGGAATAAATTCTGAAGTCCTGCTTGAAATCAAAGTCTAAGGAAGAATTAGGCTTTGGAGGAGCAGATGGGTTTCTGGCATCCCACTGCATCCACCCAGCACTTCAGGGATGACGCAGCGTGGCTTCTCCCAACACCTTCCTTGAACCAAAGCTGCACACAAATACCTTTACACAAAACACCACCAAGCCCAAATAACTCCCAACACATCATGAAGGCAGAGGGAGGCTACCCACCACCACCTGGTTTTGGGGTGGAAGTCAACTTTTTCACTTCAGTCCTGAGAAACTATCATTACGCCGATTCCCT